TGTTACTAGCAAGGAGGAAGGAGGCTGGGAGGTTCAAATGAGCTACTACAAGCATACACCAGGGGCACAGAGGATAGTGACATCCATGGAACCCACTGTACCAGGCAGACTTGGACAGCAGTGAGAAGCAACAGGAAGCAGAAGAGATTTGTACTCAATACTCCATGAAGACACTCTGCTCTTCTGGATTCCCTTGCAGCTATGAACTGGGGTTGGTTCCCAAGTCCATCTTCTGTAGTTCCCACTATCACCCAAGAATTAAGCAGGAGATAATACAGATGCTCTGCAATGTGCTGAGAGTGGGTGAGTATGTGCCCCCACACCCATGAATAGATTGCTCATATATCTCTGTGAAAATGATCATCCATACATACAGGGCCACTATTCAAGGTCTGAGGATGTCTTCCAACTAACCCCATTTGAATCTGGGCGATGGTCACCATTTTATTTTCTCCTACATCTTTCCTAAAGAGTGAGGTTTCAAGAATACCAACATCCCAGCTTACCCCTGAGCAGATACCACTTTAGAGGACACACACCCTTGCTGTGAGGAAGGCTCCTCCCACCAGGGCTCACTGGAATTTCACCCTTTTCCGAAGCCATCACCAGAGGTAACAGGAAGTAAAGAAGGATTGGAAGTTGAACACATGGGCTTTGCATCCAAACTCTGGTCACAGCTCCACCAAGAGAGCTGGGACCAATGAGTCTGCAGTCCCCTCTCTACCCTCATGAGATGGGATGTAGGAGAGGAGTACCCTGTTCAGGCATCAGCCCTTAGAGGAGCTTGCATAGGCACTGAGGGTCAAGGGGCATGACACAAAGCTCTGCCTGGATGGGTATAGTACCTCAGGCCTTCTGCTTCCTTCCTGAAACTGTGAGGCGAATCTTTTGATGTTTGGCAAATGTTTGCTCACATTTATTGCCTTTGCCTAAAGGGAAGTTCATGGGTGGTTTTTCCCTGTTATAAAAATAAATGATATATGATTATTTTGGAGGATGAAGCAAAGAAAAAGGAAAATTCTTTAAAAAAAAAAAAAAGGAAGGAGGGAAGGAAGGAAAAAAAAAAAAACCTACCCAGAGAGCCTCCAGGTTGGGAGCTAGAAGCAGTTGGGCTTTCACGGCCTGGATAAGTGGAATCGCATCTGTTCCTGTCCCTCTAAAAAGACCTCTCCGCAGCCTGGCAGATGCCTCCTGACCTAAAGACGGCAGCTCAGCCTGCGACCACTCACCTTAAACCTCTCGGTGACACCCTCGGTGATGCTGACGGTGAACTCCGCTATCTTGGGAGGACGCGCTTTCCCTTTCTTGCGGTCAGGTTCATACTCAGTTTTAGTTTTCACAACAACCTTAGCCAGGAAACAGAGAGGCACATGGTTAGTGATGAGCCTGATGTGCTCAGACACATCTGCCCTAGGCAGGTGAACCTGGGACTGTCAAGTTCAAAGCCGGGCGGTGGTGGCCCACGCCTTTAATCCCAGCACTCGGGAGGCAGAGCCAGGCGGATCTCTGTGAGTTCGAGGCCAGCCTGGTCTACAGAGTAAAGTTCCAGGAAAGGCGCAAAGCTACACAGAGAAACCCTATCTCAAAAAAACAAAATGAAACAAAACAAACAAACAAACAAAAAAAAAAACAAGTTCAAAGATACCCACCATTCCTCCAGGCAGTGAGAGCAGCTTCCACTGAGAACTCTCCATGCAGGCCCTTTCAGATACATTGCCTATCCATGGTCCTAGAGCAATCCCAGGACAAATGCAGAACCGGGGAACAGAGAAGTGATGTTCACCGGCCAAGGCCATGGGACTAATGGCTGGCAGACCACTCGGATACCCATTACAGCAGAACCCTGGTCCAGAGAGTGGGGAGGACACCTCTTCTTTCCTACTGGCTTTTCTGTGCTGCCCACCTGCTGGACATATGTGTTACTGGAGAAGACCTGAACACAACTGAGTAGCACCTAAGAGCTAGGGCCTGGGAATAAACTGCTCTGGGAAGCCTCTTAGACTGCACAGCGCTGAAGGGTCCCCCCCCCCCCACCATGTGAATCTGGAAACATCTGCCCTGTACAAACTTCCCTGAAGCCCTGCCAACTTCACACCTACCTGGGACCCCATGCTGCACCCTATAGGGACATTCCTCTCTTGGCCTCCCCAGCTCTGCTTCTGTCAGGGCTCCATTGCCTCTCTGATTCCCTTGAATAGGGAGAGTGAGGTCAAGGAGTTACTCACCTCTGATCCCCAAACTCTCCCCAGAGCAGGTGTCCAGTAGTGGCTATGGGACAGGAGAGAACCCCCTCCCCATACACTTCTCCTGGAGGGAGTATGTCCTTTGTTGTTTCCATGGTTTGGAAGACACCCACTTGCCCTGACAGTGGGACTGAGTGACTCTGGACAGGCCCCAGGCAAATGACTAGAGAATTCTCCATTCCAGCCCTGACCTGTGGAGCCAGCCTCCAGAGGTTATAGGGGAGAAAGGGGCCAATGCCTGGCATTGAGCCAGAGAGCCCTGAGCTTCAGTGTGTGCTGTCAGGCTTCACTCCTGGCATGCCATTCTCCTGCAGTAGATAGAGGGGTATGCACCCCTGAAGGCATCACCTTCCCAAGGCAGCACTGAGCACCGCCCTGCCATCCTCACATCCCAGCTGCACCCATGTAGCCTTGTGACCTTGAGCATACATTTGGGGCCACTTCCCCTGACCATGAATACGGAAGGCTTCTTTGTGTCTTATCCATAACCTGGAGGGCAGAAGGCCTGTATCATCCAGAACTGTGAGGGTGAGGACATCTAGGCCACCTGAATTCAATCTGCATCTACCACTAACTGACAGGTGACCTTGGACAGGTTCTTTAAAACTCTGTAGGCCTTCTTTGCTAGGTCTCGTCAGATGAGGGCAATGGTGGAGGTTGCCTTGCAGCAATGTGGGCATGTTGAAGTTCAGCCTAGGAAGTGTACGGAACAGTGCCAGGTACGGCAAGTGTTCCTAAGGAATGTCAGGCAAGGCTGCTCCTGATGTGACTGGCAGCCCTTGGCACTAGTGCATTTTCTGGCACTCAGAAGTCACATCCCCCACCTCCCTGAATCTTGTCAAGTGTGAGAGGTGTCCAACTAGAAGCAGAGTGGAATAAGTAACAAGGCTAGAAACTTCCCTACCCCAGAGGCCAGTGACCTTCAGCACAATGACCTTGGGTGCATTTGGTGAACTCTGAGAATCTGTCTTCTTCGATGTGACTTTGGAAGCCTTCTAACTCAAGGACCTGTTCCCACAGGAATACCCTTTTTCTGGAGCATCCTCATCAGTTACCCCAAGAGTAGAGTGACTCAGTACCTTACAGAGCCACCTAGCCTAACCCTGAGCAACAGGACTAGTTGGCAGAATGTGGGACCTGCCTGAAGCCCTCCTCCTTGTGGCCGACCATGCCAGGCAATACTGGAATGGAACATATTAAGGACAAAAGAAGAGGCTTGGACCAAGTAGAGGTAATCACCTGATAGAGGTGCCGCTTCAGGACACATAGCTCCTTGGCTGGGTGTATCAAGGCAGGAGGGGTAGGGGTACTCGGGACCGAGTCCTGACACCCACCATGGGCCAAAGACTCAACAGCCCTGCTCATCCTATGAAGGCCAGCCTGGGCCAACAGCTGTGGTGTGGGGTGCACAGCTATGACCAGCTGATCTCCCCTTCTTAAATGAAAACACCTGCAACCAGTCCCTTCCCTGCTCCCATGTCACACACACACACACACACACACACACACACCCCAAAAAAAACAGACAATAGAATTAAGGGAACAAAACCACTTTGGGAAGCTAAGTTTGGGGGTGAAAGAAGACCCACTGCAGATCCTTCCTACAACCCATTCTACTACTGCCCAGTGAATGCAGAGCTGGGAGTCAGAGCCTCTTTCTCAGAACGAACTAAGACAATAAATGTAAAAGCATGTGGGAATAGTGAGCAAGCTCCTTTGTGTGTAGGGACTGTAGATGCAGGGCGTGTGGTTTTACATTAGAGTGTTGCAATGCTACCTTCTACTTTAAGGATAGAATTTGCTTTTAAATGTTATGGCTTGAAAATATATTTATGGACCAATGATACCCCACTGGATGTAGTACTCAAGAGGGGAGTCTTTAAGTCAAAAAAAAAAAAATGCATCACGGTAAAGATGGTCCTGGTTCCACTAGTACTGGTGAGCCGGAGCTCAGATCTGGGGATTTCACAAAAGGAACAAAGAAAGAGGCTCTATTCCTGAGCACACACACAGTAAGGCAATTGGAGCTGAACCCGTACCACCTCAAAAGGCACAAGGACCTGCTCCCTGGGCTCACCCCAGACTCCTGTACCAACAAGCATCGCTCCTCATAAGACTCCCCCAAAATCAAGAGGGGACCTTCCACTAAGGAATCTTGCCAAGACGAAGGTGTCATCTAAGGCAGGGGGTCTCCAGCATCACCCAGCCCAGAATCGCGAGAGTACATTGTGCTTGCCCTGTCTTCCTCCTCTAGGCTGAGCCCGCCCCCATCTCTCACCCCCAACGCACAAGGCGTTTCTTTTGTTTCGGTTGCAGTCGAAGATTTAGGGGTGCACACCCAGCAGCGCGGGAATGTCGGGAGCTCATACCTTATCCGGGGGTGGGAACTGCAGCTGGTTGACATCGAGGGGCGTCATCAGGGGAATGGTGTCGAAGCCATCCTCCAGCAGTGGCTGCTTGGTGCCCTTCTCTGCGAAATTGTTGCCCAACTTCACCATGGTTGCGAAAGACAGGAGGCTGCGGCCTGAGGAGGGAGGGCCGGGTGGGGGTCAGGGCGAGCGGCAGCAGGGGCGGGGCGGGGCACAGACAGGAGGACTCCGCACACCCACCCGCTGTCCCTGCGTCCGCTGTCCCTGCGTCCGCTGTCCCCGCCGCCTGGTCTCCCGAGAGAGGTGGCAGGGACGCGGCGGTCGCAGCCGATCAGGGTCTCCAGGCTGTGTACTGATGGGCATTTCTAGACTCCCATCCCGCAGAGGGCAGGGCTCAGCACAGCCAGGCTAGGGGACGCCACCCGTGCCCAGCCTTTCCGGACGCGTCCCCAGTCCCGCGGCGCTGGCTTCCTGCGCGTCTCCCGAGGAGGCCCTCAACGTGAGAGATGCTCGGCCGCCCGCCCCGCTCCCCACCCGCACTCACCCCACGCCCGGCTCCGGCAAGTCTGGGCTCCGAGCGCGCTCCGAGGCTCCGCGTCGCCCGCTCTCGCGTGCAGCAATGGCGGAGGCGGCGCCGCGGCCGGGGGATCAGCGATTGGGTTCTGCGCCTCCCGCCTCCGCGCGCCGCCTCCTTCCTGCCGCTCCCGGGGGCCGCGCGCGGGAGTGCGCGTGGGGCCGCGCCGATGCGCCTCCGCCTTGACGCAGCGCCGCCCGCGCGCTGATCGGCCGCACAAAGGAGCACGCGGCTGCGGTGGCGGGGGGGGGGGGGGGGGGGGGGTCCCCCGGGGACCCCGCGCGCGACCAGACCCGGGGAAGGAGAACCTGAGGCTCCCGATGCCGGGCTGGGGGATACCCTGGCGGGCTGCGCAACCCTGGGGCGGTGGTCGAGCTCGGGGCTGTCGGGAGGGAGGAAGGGAAGGGAGGGGGAAGATGCTGGGAAGCCAGCGAGCCCCAAAGGGAGGGAAAGAGGTTCCGGCCCACCACCGAGCAGATTTGAGGGTCCTGAAGGATGACGAAGGTTTTCGGAGGACAGTGTGGATGACAGACCTAGGTGGCTCTTAGTGTGAGGCTGGGTGGGAGAGGGATGAAAAATGAGGGCGTGTCTCTATAAAAAAGAGGGAGGTTTCGGGATGTGAGGTAGTGCTGTCCTGTGGCTAGGGATGCCTGCCTGGGATGTGAGGACAGGAGGACAGGTGTTCAGAGCTTAAGGTGCCACCAGGAGAGGCAGGCTAGCCAAAGCTGTCTGCGGTCAGGGCGGAAAGGAAGGCAAGGATCTCCCCACCGCAGCCGCAGCTCTCCTGGATAATACAGAGACCCAGAAGGAAGAACCGGGTTCTAGCCTGACCGGTGCCCCAGGCAGCTGTCGCAGCTACCCAGATGAAGGCCACTGCACGTTACAGATCTCTAGCCAGCCTTGCTTGCAGGACGCAGGGAAAGAAACTAAACTTGGATATGGGAGCGAATCTCCAAAAGGAGTAGGGCTGCGGGTACCGGAGGAGCAGTACCCCACTACCCGCTACCACCGTTCTGTTGCCCTGAGAACTTAACTGTCCCCATGGTTGTTACCTGGGGTCTAAAAATCCCCCAGAGGACCCTGAGGAATAACAGAAACCTATAGGTCAGGAACAGCCAGGTTCCAAACTCCGGGAGGGCCCCTTCGTTAAAGCGGGAATGGGAGTGGGGGTGCTGCCAGGGCTTCCCTGTCCGGGCTTCGGGTAAGGTTCAGGCTGCCTTTGAGTCAAAGCAGATTAGCCTGGCCAGAGCCCAGAGTTCCTTCTAAGGCGCCTTGCCGGGCAGAGGGAAGGGCCTTCAAGGTACCTATATGACATCAGGTTGCCCTATTGGCAGCAGAGAATGGAGTTAGAAACCACCCAGGCACCAGCCTGCAGACATCAGGGGACCTGCCAGTCAGGCTGCCTGGTTTGTGCAAGAGAGAGGCTTTATCACCATCTCAGCTGTTTTCAGATCCCAGCACTAGCCTACTCGCTCTGGAGTCAGAATACATGCAAGGAGCAATAAGGTTGGTCCACCCTCTCCCTCCAAGACTATGGAGGCTATCGCAGAGACAGCTACAGTCATGCTGTGGCTTGCTGGCCTGGGCATTGCTCTTTCCTTCTGTGTGGTTTCCTTTGCTTATATCTGGACCCCATGAAGGGCACAGGAAATGCAAAGTGCATAAGATACACTGCCCCCCTCCCTGGACAAAGCATCAGCTCCCACCAGGGCAATGACAGAATCAGAACAGGGCACATGCTCAGGGGAGGAACTAAGTCCAGGTAGGAAAGAGTGCAGAGGCAGCATATTCGCTTCCTGTGGCTCCTGGAACACATGACCCACAAACTAGCAACTCTTAAAAAATCAGAAAGGTGTTCACAGCTCTGGAGGTCGAAAGTCCACAGTTAAGGTGTGGGCAGGGCCCCGCTCCCTCTGGAGGCTCCAGGGGAGAACCTCTTCCTCTTCTGGCTTTGGTGGCCCAGGCAGTCCTTGACTTGTGGCCACATCAACTCTCCCCTGTCTTCACATAATCCACATAGGCTTGTGTGTCTCACCTCATCATTGAGTTGGGACCTGCTCACCCAGTGTCTTAACTGAATCATATCCATTGTTGTAAGTCAGTGTGGGTGGTAGTCATTGAGCCACATAAAGTCAGGCTCACAGATCCCCAGGGTCAGGACATGGGCAGATCTTTAGAGGGCCACCATTCAACTCACAGACGTCAAGGGCACAGTGCTTTGGGGGCCCAAGGAATTTGAAGAGGAGACGAAGATGGCTCTGGGGAAGTCAGGAGCTTAGCCAGGGAGGGATTATGTTGAAGAGGCCAGGGTCAGAAATGCCACATTGTGGGACCACCCAATTAAGTGACCTCAACTCCATTCTAGCACCCACAATCTAATACCCAGAGCCACAAAGGATTGTTGAGAGAATGTGTGATTTATCCAGATGAGTCTTGGAAGTATACCTCAGCATCCCTGACTCCACCTGTCACTACTGAGACAAAGCCACCCCAACCCTAACATTCAGATGCTGTTCCTCAACCTGCCATCCCAAGCCAAGGTTTTCTGTGGCTTCCCCTGCTTTATTGGTTGAATTCCAGACTGTCACAGTGACACCATATTTATGAGTTGGTTTTCTGTTACTATGATGAACCCTAGAGGCTGAGTACTCTATAAAGAAAAGTTTGCCGGGTGGTGGTGATGCATGCCTTTAATCCCAGCACTCGGGAGGCAGAGGCAGACAGATCTATGTGAGTTCGAGGCCAGCCTGGTCTACAGAGCGAGTTCCAGGACAGGCTCCAAAGCTACACAGAGAAACCCTGTCTCGAAAACCACAAAACAAAACAAAAAGTGCATTTAGCTCACAGTTCTGAGGTTCAAAGGCGTAAGTCCACATAGGCTTAGTTAGCCCTGTTGAGGTGGTCCAGGTGATTGCCAACTTGACAGGACCTAGAATCACTTAGAAGACAAGCCTCTGGGCAAGTATGTGAGGGAGTCTCTAGGTTGTATTCATTGAGATGGAAAGATCCACCCTGAATGTTCAAGCCATGTGACCAGATGCACCTAGCAAAAGCAATTTAAGGAGGAAGGATTTCTCCTGGCTCACACTGTAAGTGCGCAGTCCACCACGGTGGGGAAGGAAAGGCGTGGTGGTTGCAGTGCGGTGCAGCTGGTCACATTGCATCTGCAGTCAGAAAGCAGAGAGGTGCATGCTGCTGCTCTGCTGAATTCTCCTTTCTGTTCAGTCTGGGACCCCAGCCATGGGATGGTGCTCGCACGTTCGGGGTGTGGCCTTTGGGGACAAACCACACCCAGGCCACAGAACTATGGCCTGGTTTTAATCATGACTGTCTCTTAGGATGTTGGGCAAGTGGACTAACCTCTCGGTGCCTCAGTTTCCCCATCTATACGATAGAAGTTGTGATAAACCTCCACAGTGGTATTCTGAGACTCAGAACTTTCACTACCTAGTTCCTGTCGTTTCTGTTATTGGTGCTTGGGCTTCTAATTCTGAACCCTTGGCATTGCTGGTTTTAGTCGCCCCTGCTGGACAAGCATGATGAGGGATACTTTTTATGGTTGTATTGTTAGCCCCCTGGCTGGCTAAGGGAATTCATCCTTGGGAGTACTGTGTGCATCTTTGCAACTCAGAGAAGCCCAGTTCCTGGCTGCACAGCTCCTCACAAGCCTGGGATGGGCTTCAGGGTCTAGACAACCTCTAGAAGTCTGTACCCTCTCATCTGATCCCAGGACAGGCTCCATAGGAACTTTTGGTTTCCTTCCACTGCATGGTCACATCAAACCAGAGATCCTTCATCCATTTTTTTTAAGGATGATATTAACAGTTACCTGGTGCTCCCCTTTCTCAGTTCCTGGTACATCCTACATCCTACTCTACTTGATATGGTTTCTTGGTACACACTGTCACTGCACACACCTTCACTAGTGACGTTTTCCATCCCACCTGTCAACTGTCAGTCAGCACACAGATTCGGTTTAGGGAGACAGGTTTTGGTGAGTGTGAGGAATCAGGTATGCTCCAGCTACATCCCCAGCCCACATCTTTTTCCCAGATGCTGCCTCCTCCACCCAGAATGTCTCCTCACCTCCTTGTCCTGATGGTTAGACCTTCCCTTTCAAAGCCCTCACCCAACATAGCCTCCTCTTTATAACTGGCCTCACTCTCTACATTCTTCTATCATTTTTTTCAATGTGCCTTGTATCTAAAATGGGTATTGTGCTCCAGCAACCCCACCCCCACACCAAGCAGGCTCCACCTCTTAAAGGTCCCAATACCTCATAATATCACACTGGGGACCAAGTCCCAACACCTGAAATATGCTCTGAGTGGTCCATCCAGTGGGCATCCACTTACCGTACACTCTGTCCCTATACACTCAGAAAGTGTGAAAACCACATTCCAAGTCACAGTGAGGAAATTCAAGTCCAGTTTATGTTGCCCGTGACACCATTGTGACATTCCGTCTCCTAGGTTTGTCCTTACTTCAAAACACTCATTCATGGAAAACTCCAAGCATCACCAAAGCGCATAATGTGTACACAAAAATGTGAGCACAATTTGCAGTGATCCCTAACATTTTATTTGCCCCCATGCTCCCTAGCGCTTAGCCACACAAAGCAGCCAGAAATGGTCAGGAAACAAAGGGGCTGTCTCTGTTTCTTAGCTTATGTTCATAGGAACAGAGTAAACATTATTATGGGGCCCAGAGGCATACAGACTGGCCTATATACATGTGTTTGGTGTTGGGTTGGGATGAGGTCATTTTAAAGACTTATTAACATCCCAGTGATTGCTAATTTTCCCAAATTACTTTTAAGACCCATTTCCCTCTGAGCTGTGAGCCCCTTGGCCTTCTGGGAAAGGCTGTGGTGAGGGTCCTCTCTGGACCTCAGCTTCCTCTTCTATGAATGGGCAGGAATGGTCACAAAGCTCAGTATCTGATGCACAGTATGAGAAGACTTGTCAAGTGCTCTCCCTTGGTGCCCCAGTTTGGGATTTCAAATCCAAGCTCTTTAGTTTTGTACCAACTCTAACTTGAGTTAGCAGGATAGACAGAGGTAGCCGAGTTGGAATAGATAGAGATGGGCATGCTTCTCAGGGGAACTGACTGGGTGGGTATGGATGGAGAGCAGCCTGACCAGCCAGCTGCAGGCTGAGGCCCCCAGCATGTTGGCAGCATACCTCAGGCCAAGTCTACAGGCCCCGGGCCCAGAGAGCTGATGGTGTAAGTCAGAGGCCAAGAACCTGAGAACCTGTAAAGGGCATCAGTTTGAGTGTAGGGGCCACAGCATAGCAGCCGATGCTCTGATGGCCAAAGGCAATGGGGGAGTGTCTGACTCCAGCAGAGATAGAGTCCTTCTTCCTGTCTAGATTGATCTGACAGAACTGGCTGATGGTGCCCGCTAGATCAAGGACAGATCCTACCCACACAGCCTACCCATCCACATGCCAGCCTCCCCAGACCACCCAGAAACAGGGCATCACCAGCCTTTTTGGGTGCTGCTTAAGCACCAGGCTGACCCTAGAGCCACTTGTCACACACAAACAAACTTCAGGCACCACACTGTGGTTGGCCTTGCAGTACTGTGCAGACAGCAGGTGCCCAGACCCTCTCTCAGAAACAGGAGTTCCTCAGTAGGACCATGGCCCTCTTCAGTGGACTTGAGGCTGGCCACACTCCACCAAAACTGTCCCTATCCTTCCAGGTGCCCACCCCTATCCCATCTCCTGCTGGTTTAATACTTGTGCCTCAGCAGAGGTCCCTCCAGAGGCCCCTCGGACCCCACACCTTCCCAGGACTTTGTAGGACACCCTGTGAAGCAGCAAGCTCTTCTCAACTTCTGAGCTTCACTTAGAATGCAGGCCCTTCCTGGCTGGTACAAATGCCACCCCCACCTGGAAACTTCCTAGAGCCTCAAGGGGGAAGGCCCGTTGTCTCCTCCAGGGCAAGAGTTTAATAGCAAGGATGATGATCAGGACAAGGATGAGAAGAAATCCTTTCTCTTCCATTCTTTTCTTTTCCTTTCTTTCTTTTATATTTTCAGCTTCACAAATATTGAGCAGTGGAGGGGGTAGATATGCTTGTACCCATTTTGCAGATGGAGGAGAAGCAACAATCATTTGAAATGACCGTGCTGATAACTGCCACACTGCAGTGAGTACCAAAGCCACCAGTGTGTTCTCCAGGTGTTCCTCCAGCCACACGGCAGGAGGCGGCCACCAATGCAGGTGATGCCCAGCGTGATGATTGACACTGACTGTCAACTTGACAGGGTGTAGGATCACTCAGGAGACACACCTGTGTGTGTGTGTGTGTGTGCCTGTGAAGGACTTTCTAGAGTGGGTCCATTAAGGTGGGATGGTCCAACCTGAATGTGGCTGACACCATTCCATGGGCTGGGGTCCTGGATTGAACAAAAAAGAGAAACTGAGCTGGTCAGGATCATTCATCTCAGCTTCCCGGCTTCAGATGCGATGTGACCAGCTACCCCAGTCCCTGCCACCGTGACTTCTGAGCCTCAAACTGTGAGCTGAAATGAAGCCTCGTTTCACCTGAAGAATTCAGTCTGCCTGCCTGAGCCACAGCCCCTCCTCACCCCCAGCCTCCTCCCACCCCTCTGCTCAGGCTGGCCATACCAGCTCTGGACTTCCAGTTCCATTTGGGCTCCAGTGGGAAGGGCCAGTCCCTGTGCCCGATATCACCCCTGCTTCAGCTGTATCCGTCACTCCTATTTTTCACTGGGGTCGGGGAGACATGAGCCTTGAAGACCTAGGCAAAGCATGGTCTCCCAGACCTCCATTTCCCCTTCCATAAAGTAAGGAGGGGCAAGAACGAACTTCACTACCCCCAGCTTAATCTGCTCCCATGTTGCTGGCTGTCACCATGTCAAGAATGGCCCAGCATAAAGCAGAACCAAACCGCGGGCAGCTGAGGTCAAGCAAGCCAGAGCATGAACCTGGAGATAAATGACCAGATCGTATAATCTCATTTGGCTCTTTTCTGCTTTTCTTCACAGCATTCCAGGATCAGCCAGCACCAGCGAAGGACTGGGCTTCTAGCTCGTGCAAACAGCTCGTATTAAATTATTTAGTCCGCAAATGACTATTAAAGCGCCGTGCCAGAGTGAAAGCCGCAGAAAGGCCAGATTCGAGTAACAACAGCATTGTCTGCTTCAATTAATTATTGAATTTTTTAAGGGCCCACAAATGGATAAACACAATTCATTGCTTGCTCTGGGGAGCCAGGGTCTCTGGGAGCATTCACAAAGTACACGAGCTCCCTGGAGCGGATCAGTGGTGCTGGAGATGGGAGGCAGGAGCTGGGCTGCATCTGAGACCCAGTGGGCCTCTCAGTTCAGTGCCTGTGGGGAAATTAATACTTTCACCCCCTGGCCAGCCCTGGCCTGCAAGCCCTGAGCTGCCCTTGAACATATGGCCATGGTTGCCTTCTTTTTTCTTTTTATCAGCCATAACTTACAATGTCCTCTCCATCACACAGTCTGGCTTGTTTCTCTGACCCACTGCAGAGGTCAGGTGGAAAGCTTTGTGTGCAGATTCCCTGGCAATTGAATTTTGATCCATTTAAGTCAGCCTGCTTCCTTCTGGACCAGAGCTCTTCTGACATGCAAGACACGTCATCTGGTTCTGAGACAGGACCTTGAAGAGAATGTAATGTTTCTAGAAGAATGAAGTTGGCTTCGGGCACATGCAGCCATGATGCTGAAGCTGGATTAGTCGCATGCACTGGGCTCCTTACCCAGCCCCGAATGCCCCTGGGCTGTGCCCTCTGCAGAGTCTTTGAGTTGGCTAGCTTCTGTTGTTACCTGTGTCCTCCAGTCCCACAGGGTCCAGCAGAATAACCTTCACTACCCACACCACCGCACTTTGCCAGTGTTCTGCTTCTACACTGCTAGGTATAATACAAACCCCCAAACTTAAAGGGGGTTTACAGGAGCTAAGGAGCTGAATGGGTAGGATACTGTCCTCCCAAAATCAATGTTGCCTGCAGCCCTAGAATGTGCCTGCCTTTGCAATTAGGGTCTTGGCAGGTAGAAAATGGTGAGACTCTTAAGATGGGGTCACCCTGGGTTTCGGGGTTCTTGTGGGAAGAAGGAATACGGAACATGGAGCCTTGGGGTTCATGGAGCCTTGGAGGGAGTGTGGTCCTGTGGACAGCTTAACTAGCACCGTAGCTCTGAGACTGTGTGCCCGCGGTTAGTGTCGACACTTGGGACATTCCTAAGAAACGAATGCAGAGGTAATGTAGCCCCAAAGCTGTCGCCCTTCAGTAGTTTTACATGTTATATTTTAATTTTTTGTTAGTTATTTGCCTACTTGAGGACATGTGGCAGTCCGACGGAGACTCATGGGAGTCAGTTCCCTCCTTCCACCTTGTGAGTCCCAGGGACGAACTCAGGTTCTCAGGCTTGTGGCAAGCACCCTTACCTGCTGAGCTGTCTCGCTAGACCCTTAATTTGCTTCTTGTCAGACCAAGTGACTCATACAGTGACTCAGGGGAGCTCTGGTTGTCAAGGGAAACATGAACAGTGTTGAACTTCTGGCCACTGGGCCCGCATGGCCAGCTCTCCCTATAGAGTCTGCTTTAATCCTGGGAGGCAAGGAAGCATGCTCCTGTCTGTAGAAACAGGCTCACGAGGTAATGTCCACCTCTGAGGGGGTCTGTCTGCCTCTGGTCTTCCCCACCCAGTCTCTCTAAGAGCTCTGCAAGGGTGGACAGGGGGCTTGTTTACTGCACATGCTGGGGTCTCCTGTGTGGGGGTGTGTTCTCCACACCCCGGCATCCATCAGACCAAAGCAACTTGAGTTATGTAAGAAATAAAGGGAATGGAACAATGCTGTTCACTTGGTTCCTTGCATCCTCTGGCTTCCAAGGATAATTTTTAAACCTCCAGCGATGATACTTGAATGTGAACAGAAAACGTTTTCCCAGCAAAGGACTCATCCATTCCCGTGAAACCCAGAGGCAATACTGAAGACTGTGGGCTCATTGCATTCCCTGCTTCTCCCTGTGTGGAAGGAGATGAGATGTAGAAATGATAATGCTAATTGTGTTTTTCTATGAGATTGATTTTACTGCTTCAGTATCTGCTCCTTCAGTGTCCGCTCAAGGGTGGATTGTGTCTTGACTTTCATCTCTGCAGCTCCTGTTAATAATTAGGTCACCTTTTACCCAAGCACTCTGCTTGCCTTAGGCCAGAAGCTTCCAGCTGCACCGGCCCTGAGGAAGCCACGCAGCACCCCCCTGCTGACAGTGAATTCCTGGGGTGCACCCCCCTGCTGACAGTGAATTCCTGGGGTGGTAGGAATGCTCTGCCCTTGCTGATGTCAGCAGGGGGTGAGCCAGCATTTACCTGGCATTCCACAAACCCCAGGACTGCCCTGGGAGTGCTTTGTAAACTCCCCACAACACCCTGTAAGGTTGGGGTTATTGCCCCTATTTTACAAATGCAGAATAATACAGCATAAAATCACCTTACCCCAGAGCTGGGCCCAGGACAATTGCCTCCAAGCCAGTGCTGGCCACCTTGTTGGTTAGGCAAGCCCCATGCTAGAGTTCAGACTTTTGGAGGCAGAGTTGAACCCCTCTAGTGATCAAGCTGTTTAGAAAGTACACTGAGCACATCAACCCTGGGTAGTTTGCCTGGCTGGTGGGAGACAGGGCAGGTAGAGAAGGCCTGGAGGCAGTTACATTACCAACCACAGCATCTCCTAAGAGCCAGGTGGGCTCTCATCAGCTGTGGTGCTCACTTCTGTAGGACCAGTCATATAACTCCAGCTGGGTGAGGTGGCTGAGCTGCTGGGACCAGACACAAAGCAGCAGCCCGTACTTGGGCCCTGGTCCACACTGTTGAACATACAAGTATTTATGCCCTTCGCAAGAGTAGGCCACATCATGGTGAGCATCAGGCATGTGTGTCTGTGTGACAACAGCCACACAAGAATTCCTAACAATGGAGATTGTTCAGAATGTCAAATGGTTTGTGCTAGTATTGAATAGAGACACTAGAAAGTAGACAGCTGCAGAGGGAGACCATGAGACCCTGTCCTGGTCAGTGAGTGCTGTACGTGAAAGTCACATGGGCATCTATGGGGAAACTTCTGTTCTCCTCTTCATCCTTTCTGAAATACTGTGCTGGTTAATAGTCTGTTGGTTTGACACAAGCTGGAGTCATCTTGGAAGAAGGAATTCAATTGAGAAATTGCCTCCATTGGATTGGCCTGTAGATAAATCTGTGAGGCATTTTTTGATAAATGATTGATGTGGGAGGGCCCAGCCCACTGTGGATAAGCCACCTGTAGGCAGGTGGGCCCGGGTTGTATAAGAAAGCAGGCTGAGCAAACCATGGGGAGCAAGAAGCACTCCTTGGTTTCTGCTTCAGCTCCTGCCTCCAGGTTCCTGCCTTGAGTTCCTGCCCTGGTTTTCCTTGGTTGTGATTGGGACATATAAGCGAAGTAAGCCCTTTCCACTCCAAGATATGTTTGGTCAGGATGTTTTATCACAGCAGGAGAAAGCCAACTAGACAAATATAAAAATCATATTCAGAGACACGGCAGAGTTCTTCAGTCCGTGAGGCTACAAACCCAAGGATGGAGACTACCCGGCAAAGTGTGCTCATGTTTGAGCGAGTGCAGTCTATAAAATACGTTTTGGTTTAAATGAGGAATGCTAAGCCTTGTTTGCTTGTTCCCCACTGGGACAAGGCACCCTCTCCCCCAAGGATAAGCACATTCTAAACTAGCCCTGGTTCAGACGGGTTACAGGTGGCAAAGATATGCTGTCTCTCCCAACATTCATTCTCCCATGAAACTAAAGTGTTTTTCAAGCTCGCATCTGCCTAGAATAAAAACTCCATTGTTATGGGCCAGGAGGAGGCTCAGCATGTGGGGAGCAGTGCTGGTCAGGCTAATAACCTCAGTTCAATCCCAAGGACACGTGTGGTGGGAAAGAAGCAACTCCACGTTGTCCTCTGACCTCCACATGAATGCTGTGGCACTCATGTCTACATGCATAAACACACGTGCACACACACACACACACACACACACACACACACACACACACACTACATGAATATAACACATTTTTTTAATTGTCTCACTTCTCCAGCAGAAATTAAGTACTGGCGAGAAGGAGAACAGACGTGAGTGGTTGCATCTTCTACCAAGTCTCACACTCGCGGCCTGTGTTTTATCCATATCCTACACAGAGAGTGGCAGGGAGCCCATAGTCGCAGGGCATGGAGGGTCCCCATCCAGAAATGGGGACCACGTGCCTCTGTACTCTGCAATTACTCTCTTAGTGATGCCACTGCTATTCTGGATTTTCTGTCACCAGAGTCAAACCTAATCTAAGCCGTATTTATTTCCTATAGTCCCTCTAAGGAGCTCACTGAGTGGCCTCACACAACTCAGATTGGTTCTGTTTCAAGTTGAAGGTCAGAAGCTGGAAACTAACATCCTAGGCTGGGACCCTGGGGGAATTGCTCTCCTGTCTCCCCTTTCCCTTTCCAAGGCTCATGACCTGCATTCCTGGAATCACTTTCTACACCAACACAAAGTGTCTCTGAAGCCTGTTTACCTCTCCCAGTGTCCCTCCTCTGTCCTTGAATCCACTTGTGATGACATGGGGCTGTGTGGATAATCAGAATTCTCCACATCTAGGACCTTTTGCTCCCTCATACCCACAAAACCCCTTTTCCTATGGCAAGGGCCATCGTGGGACTCAGGGCACGTGCCCAGCTGACTGCATATCATCTAACCTATATTGTCTTTGCTTTGGTTGTCCCTGAATAGGAGCGTCCCTCCAAAATTCATGTTCAGAAACCCTAATTCCATTTGGAGATACAGCCTCTGAGGAGCTGATAAGGGCAACAGAATCCCAAAGCCATTCCCAACCTGTGCCATTCTAAAAGGAAGGGCCACCACACCTCCCCTGCCATGGGAGAAGGGCACAGGGAGAAAATGCCATTGGCTTCACCTTGACCCAAGACTTGATCTGCAGCCTTGGGTACCAGGGACAATGCTTTTCTGCTGTATAAGCCACCTACCTGTGGCTCTTGGTCATGGCCATCAGGTCTGACCATACACTGGCTTTCAAAAGTACCAGTCATTGTAGTTTGGGTAAAAGTAACACAGACCCTTCGTCCTGTGGGTTGACAATTGCAATGCTACAGACTAGACCTCAGGTCTGCAGTTTGGTGACTGCTCTTATCTATGCCTCTGGGGTATATTGTGGGTGTGGCAGGCCTATGCTCCACCCCCACAGGGACACCACTCTCTCTCGGGTGATGAACAGGCTGCTAACCTCTCTGGATGCAGGTTCTCTCATCTGTGAACTGGGTATGATAACCTCAGTGGTGACATTCGGCAGTCTGGCTCAGTGTGGGTCAGGACCTGGCACTCAATAGACTCAGAGCTAAGATTTATAAGTGTTAGCATTTGGGAGTTCAGAGGCAGGAGGCCCAACTCCCCAGAAAGGAGTTCCCCTAGACTTTTAGGGACATCAACTCAGGTCAAAGGCCAAAGTCATTCATGACTTTAGTGCAGAAAAGAATTTCAGGACTAAGCAGTTTGTGAAGCAGAGGTACGGTTTAATAAAGACACTTTTATACAGGCTTAAGGAGGGTATTAGAGAAAGAGACAATCAGTAGAAAGATATAACACACCTGAGAGCAGGAGTATGGGCTTCTCAAAGAGACCAGCTCATCTTTTGGGGTTTTTTGTTTTGTTTTAACAATAGCCATATACAAGACTTTGGTGGGGTGTGCTACTTTCTTCAAAGGGTTGCTAAGACAACTAAATGAGATCCCTCCACAGGTAGCTTCCCAGGGTCACCTAACAATATTGCAATTGACAAGGTGGGTGTTTAAAAGGACAAGATGGCTCATCAGTTAAGAGCACATATTGACCGCAGAGGACCTGGGTTCAGTTGCCAGCACACATGTGGCAGCTCACAACTGCCCGGAACTCCTGCTTCAGGAGTGCTCTTCTGGCCTCCTCAGGCACTGAACTCATGTATGCCCCAGCATACACATAATTAAAAATACAGTAAATAAATAAATAAATCTTTGGGGGCTGGAAAGATGGCTTAGCAGCTAGCACCCACAAAGTGGCTCACAACCCTCTCTAACTCCAGTTCCAAGGGATCCAATAGTCTCCCTGACCTCTGCAAGCACCAGGCAAGTATGTGGATCTACATACATGCAGGGAAATACTCAATACACATTATGTGTTTTTAATTTTAAGATTATCATCCAAGGGGGTAGGCTATGTCCTCTGAAATACAGCTTATGATTTTGTTGGAGATCTAGGAGAAGAGATGAGGCCATCCCTATACATTCAAGCCTTAAACCTTCTGTTACTTTAGATGGAAGGAGAGAGGATTACTGGAATCTTAAATGCTAGCTGCTCTAGGGTACACAGCAGCAAACAGCAAAGGGATCATGTCTCCAACAAGGTGAAAGGCAAGGACCAATACCAAAGATTGTCCTCTGACTTCTGTATGTGTGATCTAGCACACACCCTTCACACACACACACACACACACACACACACACACACACACACACACACACACCACACACACATATCTAAAAATAAATACATTCAATACATCACAGTTAAAAGGAGAAAAGAAGTTGATTGTGAATCAGACAGTCTTGTAGGTATGCATATGCAGAATCTCTCAAGAAGCTATTCATACAGCTTCAACTTGCGTTCAGCATCTTGCCCTTTCTAACGTGTTTATTAAATCTGTATCTGTATATTATTAAATATCTGCATATGAAAGGAGTAGTGACTCCACATGCTGGGGGTCTTGCCTCTCAGCTGAAC